AAGTAACATTAATTTGGATTTGTAAATTGTAAATCTAGGCACTCGGGCTAATTTCGCGTTTGAATGTCAAAAAGGTGCCCACATATAAATATCGGATTTATCGTATCGTGTAAGTCAATTTCAGTTTTCAATTGCTATTGTTGGTAAATATCTTTCTGCCAGAAAGTAGTAAGTAACGGATTAAAAAGGAAATGTAAGTTGACTGCATAATTAGCTGTCTGCAAAATTCTACAAACAAAATGTGTTTTTCATGAAAAGCTAGCCAATAGCGCTCCGTCAACAATGTGAGAAAAGCTGAAAAAATTAGGGGTCAAAACACAAACAAATGATTCGAAAATAATGTATCAAACAGTATTGACGGTGAAACGATACGGTAACTAAATCACACCTGTTCATTATGACAATCAAGTATCCGAGTGAGACGAGTAAGCTGAAGTCGAAGCATGTTCTCTTCAACCAACATATCATTCTTCTCCTTTTCGGCCAATTTTAGCGCCTTCTGCGTTTGGTCGACGTAGAGCTCATCGGTACTCATTCGGCATTCAACAGCGTCGTACTCATTCTTCAGGCTGGCTATCGATCGCTGACAGTAAAGCACGTCCGTCTGAAATGAACCAGGAGAGAATGAAAGCATTTGTTGATGTCTAATTTGTCTGAACCAACTGAGCCGCTGGGACTCGATTCTAAACGAAATGGAGAACAGGAAAAACTGTCTATTATATCACCAGAATTGTATATTTCAACAAAGTATCAACCACAACAATGCGTCGATTTCATGCTGTAGCAAAACAGGATCTTTCAAAACCAGACTGACCACGTGGACAGCAGCAATTACACATGGTCTTCAAAAAAGCCAAAACTGTATAGAATGCTGGCTTGCATCCAAGCTGGCTAGTTGCACTGAGTCAGGGATAACATATTAACCCACAGTATAAAGAAATCTAACAACATCGCTTGTTAAGAATGTTTTCAACAAAATGTTACGGTAAATAGAATTCACAGAAAGCAAATTCCTGCTCGATTACTGGCCCAAACACCAAAACGGTGGAGAAACAGACCATGATCGACCACGAGAAAACGTACTAGAATCCTGCAGGAAGGACCTTACCGAAAAAATGAGCTTATTGACGGGATCCCGTTCAGGTTGGCCAATAATCTGTCCAATCCGCTTCAAAAAGAATGTTCTAGAAGAGTCGAGCAACTTCTCGCTCAAATGAGCCAATCAGAAATTACGGGAGTGCTGTGGTGGCAGCCAATGGCAAGAGGCCGTCGATGACATGCAATCAGTTTTCTAAATGGATTGACTGGCGTTTTCGTAGGAATGCGGACCTTCCCAACACAAAGGTATCCACGGAATAAAAAGCAAACCAGGCAACTTCGGAGGGCGCTTAGATTTTTCAGAACTTTTTTCGACAATAGTGGCTAATATCCGCTTATATAACAACAAACTATGTTGAAGGGCGACAAGAGGTGTACGCCTCCTTTATAAACATTACTTCTGAGGTTAAAAACTGAAGGGTTCACATGACAACCTAGTTAAAATTTCAGCTTAAGAAAAACAGCTAGAGAGTCTGAAAAATCTTTGGGTGCTAAGAGGGGACAGGCTGATGTGCGGCTACTATAAGTATGTACACTATTATTGGGTTCCGACCATTCGGATGATTTGTATCTAATACGTTGTTTTGCGTGAGTATAACATTATAAAATGATAAAAGGATGCTTGAAGTTTTGGAAAAATAGGAAGTAAGGTACCGAAGAGGAAAGTCTGTATCAACTGTTGGACCTTTTTGGGGGGTTTAGAAGAAGAATGCTATATTTAGGATTGTAAAATCCTGAACTTTCAGCAAACACCTACTGAAATGGAGTGAGACAGACGATATGAGTTCGTTCAATTTTAATTAGATAGGTTTGACTATGTGTTTTATCGGCATCTGCTGTTCCAAACAGGATAAAGATGTCACAATCAACAGAACCAGCCCATCTTTAGATTCACAGACGTTTTTTGTTGTCGCCATTCCGGCCTTTTCTCGTGGTAAAACGTTTCGTTCTATTTGCCGGCAAGATTGGAAAGTACGAACAGCATTAAAATAACCACAACCGGTAACAACACGTCAACGGCAAACAGACGATTGCTGAATGCTTTCAATTCTTACGTCGGCGTTGGAAATCTAAAGGTCTAAGAAGACAGTCACACAGTTCAAAGTAAAGCGCACAAGACCGCAGCTATGCTGACATTGTTAACGTAAACAAGGTAAAGGCTGCCGGAATACCATGTCCAAGGTGATGGTTGAATTTAATCTTTATTGTAATAAAGGTCTAAGTAATAACTACCTGGACTTGGACCAGCTGATTTGAAAGTGTTTTCTCAATTCCCGTTTGCATTTCTAGCTCCTTGGTTTTGGCCGCAACTTGTTCTTTCAATGTGGCAAGCTCTTCTTCGTTGACGTCACCCTGCAGTGGTGCGATGCGTCTTTCCATGGATTCTATTTGCAAACTCTTTAACGAAAGGGAGGGTAAAGAATGGGTAAACATGCTTTCACTGACATCTGTCAAAATTGTATTTCCTCCTCCAATTCGATTAAGTGAACTGTCACGTTTAATTACTTAGACTACCAAGCATCTCATTTTATTAGATATCTATTAAATACTATACTAGAACTGTTTCCATTTTTGAAACTTGAAATGCATTCGAACTATTGAGGATTTCGTACGTTTGCATAGTTAAATCATAGCAGACATGCAAGCTGTCCTTCTGAAATCTAAAAAAACATCAAAGACGATGAAAATGAGCCGCAGAAAATAATATTCACCCAATCTTCAGGGCGATTTATACTGATCCATCTCGGAGGGCACCCGTAGACATGGGAATTCACTTCTGCACCCGCTGGAAAATTGCCTCTTATTAGCGACCACTAATGATATTGCTCAGCAGACAATGTATTGCATACGCACGTTTGCAAAGAATTGTCTATGTACAAGGTTTCAACTCCCAACAAGGTTAGTTCCAGACAACATGTCCTTTTTACTTAAAATT